TGCAAGCACTGTATGATTACATGGTTAGTTTGTTGCCCACTTCAGAGGGCAGAGATATCTTCTACAGCATGCAAAAAAAAAATTAGTTTTGGCAATCAAGGAGTCTTCTTTTAATCTAAAATGTATTGCTGTGTTCTGTATTGCACTGCATTGGAGGTGATCTGGCAATGTAAATGAAATGTTACAGAAACAACCCCAATTTTATATCCTTTCTCAGAAACATGTATACAAGCAGTAAAGTGATTTCACTGTGAAAGGAAACTTGTAAAATAACTTATATGCAAGGGTAAAAAAGGTGGGGTTTCTGTGTGTTTTTTAGCCTTCAGCATATATTTGTAGGAGATTTGAATAAGCTATTTTGAAGCTTTCATTCTAAGCATCTACTGCTGTTAACTGTAATGCCCAAAGAGTCCAGTGACTAAGCACCCAATATTTATGTTGTTTAATGCATTTGGAAACCTCCCAATCAATTCTTTTATCTCGCTCTCCTTTTTGTTTTTAATATGGTGAATGTCCCCCCAGATGAATAGCACTTAGATCATTCTTCATGGTTTGGCTCATAAGTACTGCTAACAATGGCCTTAACCTGTGAGTAGGGAAATACATCGACAACATGGTTCCTGACAGCCTGTAAAAATGTAAAGTTTTGTAGGGCAAACTTTTGTAACTGGGGAAAAAACTTTCATCCCATACAACTTGCCTGCTCTGCTAGATATTTTTAGAACTAGGGGTTCAAAATGGAACAAATCACTGTGCCACTAAATCCTTGGTTATTTTGAACGTAGAGGGTAAAGAGGAGGTATTAGCTAAAGGTGATGCCTTACAGAGTTACTCAAGCAAAGCAAATCCTTCAAGAAAGCCCCAACCAAACCCACAGTAAGATACGTCAGAAGGCTTGTCATGGGGCGGGGGAGATAATTGGAGGAAAAAAATACAAAAATATCTATGTTCAGTAAAGGTCTTTCTAATACGTGATACTGATTCTGTGCTCTTGAAAACTGTAGTACTGTGTTGTACTGAACAGCCTGTGAGAGTCCCATTTTAAGCAAGTACTGTGTGTAACAATTGCTTTTGATCATAAATGGTTCATTTCAATGCACTTATTTTTCTCGTGCACTTTACACTCCACTGAGTAGCTGAGCGTGGTCACCATGATCCCTGACAATGGCCAGTTCCGTACGATACCAAGGCACCACCTGCTGCATACCAGACTGGTGTGGTTTCCCAGCGGAGCTGGTGGAAAAAGCAGCTTCAAAGCTCTGTATTTTTACCACTGTAACAAAGCATGTTTTTATCTGTTCTTGATGTTTTGCTAAATAAACATCCCATGTTTAGTGCACAAGTTGTCTCTTAAGCTTACAAGGCTGTCTCCAAGAAGGCACAAGGGAAACAAACCATTGGATCAGGTTGCCCTCAACTAGCCTTAATTTATTTTTTTTCCAATGGTAGGACTGAATGAGCTGCTGCTGGAAAGGAATGTACTATGTGCTCTTTCTGTATTAATATTAATTAAAAATATTATTCTTATGGCTCTATTCATTTCTTTGGGGCTTGGAAATGTGGGAGTGTCATGAAAAAGCATGAGGACAAGGTGAACGAGCCAGATGTTTTGTATACTTACAGGCAGTTTTATGTTTATACATTTCTTTTAGTCCTTCAACGTTTCTAGGAAACTTAGGAATTGTTGTACTGTATAAAATCAAATCTAAGAATACTGCTTGTGTTTTACCAATTAACACCTAGTGCTGTAAGGGGAAACCACTGAAAAGCAGTTACAGCTGTCTGGAGTTTTCCTGGGGGAGGATTTTGTTTTTAAATTCTTAGTACACCACCTTACTAACCCTAGTGAGCAGCTCTTCCTGGAATAATGCTGTGGCTTCACTGCTGAATCCACACCTCCCACTTTCTATGCAATTTCTGTCTAGAAAAAACACTGCTATCCAGTAGGAGTAGGTTTACCTTTCTATTTATTTTCCCTGAGTGTTTTAGTAATAATAAATAAATAAAAACTGGTAAGTATCGTGAATATAATCCTACCTGAGCGTGCAAAATAAATTATGTCAATTTAAGTAATTTAAAAATCTTTATCTTACTGAAAATCCTTAAACACTTGTTTAAAAAAAAAAATAAAAAAAGGTGCAAAAGCTATTTTTAGGAACCAGCTGCGGAGCAGCCCTCACCCCAGCCCTAATCTCACCCTAAACATCATTTTCCCCCAACAGCAGCTGCAGGCAGTGACCCTAATTAAAAGGTAGGCATGATGTTTGCTGGCTAGAGAGCGACTGATAGAGGCTGGGGGCTGAGCAGTTTTTTAGTGTTTTTAAAGGATGTTTGAGGGGTTTTCTCACAGGAGCTTTTTGGGAACTTTCTGGGAACATTTAGGATATTTTTAGGGCTTGTTTTCAGGGCTTTTAAAAGATTTTTTAAGGTATTTTAAGGGCTTTCTTAGTACTAATTCGAATTTTTAGGGTTTTTTTTTGGGTGTTCTTGGGCCTTTTTAGGACTATTTAAAAATGTTTAGGGCTTTTTTAGGACTCTTGGGGGTATGTGGAGGACTCTTAGTCTAGGGTATTTTTAGGTTTTTTGACAGGTTTTATGTTTTTTTAGGGTCTTATCAGTGTGTTTTAAGGATTTTGGGGCTATTTTTAGACCTCTTTTAGGAATATTTAGGGATTTTTTTAAAGGTTCTTTGGGGATTTTTAGGGGTATTTTAGGGTTTTTTTAAAGTAGGGTATTTTTACTGTATTTTAAGAGTATTCTGAGGCTATTTTTATGTTTTTGTGGGGGTTTTATGACATTTTGAAGATGAGGGGTTTTTAGGGGGTGTTTAGGGTCTTTTCACAGCATAGCGGCTGAGGGGCAGCTTGAGGGGCAATGTGGGGGCTTGAGGGTGGCAGAGGCTGGGAGCTGAGGGAGGAGCAGAGAGGGGACAGTGGGTGACACAGAGAGATGCTGAGGGGGGCAGGGGCAGCTGGAGGGTGACACAGAGAATCTGGGGGCTGAGGGGCAAAGGAGAGGGATTAAGGGTGGCACACGGGAGCTGAGGGGCAAAGGGGGGCTCGAGGGGGACACCCAGAGCCTGAGGGCTGAGGGGCAGAGGGAGGGGTTGAGGGCTGGACAGTCCAGTGGAGATCAGGGCTACAGGGTACAGCTTAGGAGGCAAGTTAGGGTACAGGTGCAGCACCCCTCACCCTAAGCAGCCTTTTCCCTTTTCACCCCTAACAACAGCAGCACAGCAGAGCGAGCCTGACAGAGAGACCACACCGGAACCCTCCTGCTGGGACAGGACAGCGACCCTCGCACCGGGACAGCGCCAGAACCCTCAGAGGACAGCAGGACCCGCTGCAAAAAGGTAGGGATGACATCTGTGGGCTAGAGAGCAACAGGAAGGGATTGGAGCTGAGCAGGCTTCCTTGACTTGTTTTGCAGGACTATTAGGAATATTTAGGGCATTTTTGAAGGCTTTTTAGGACTTTTCTGGTGTCTTTTAGAGTATTGTTACACCTTCCTAATGGCTATTTTTGAATTCCTTGGTGCATTTTTAGGCTCAGGATGAGGGTCAGACAGGATGCCTGCTGAAAATGCAGAGTATTACTGGAATGCAGTGGAATGATTTGGAAAGGTGCCAGTGGAGGGGCAGTGGGTCAGGTGCTGCTGGTCTGAAGGTTGTGATTTCTGAGCCAAGCGCAGTGGTTGTGGTTAGGGTCACAAACTGGCAGCTTTCTCGAGGAGATACAGAGCACATTAAAAATCAAGCCCCAAGCTTTGTACTGTCAGTTTGCAAGAGTCATTTGTGACCAAAAAAAACCCAGAGTACTTGGAGGTGGCAGACATGGTCTGGGAGAAACCTTGCGCCATTTGGATATTGAGGAGGCAAAAGGCCACTCAGAGCCTGACACCCCAGGGGGGTGAAGGGCCCTGGTCATGAATGAGGGATATCTACCTTGTGAAAGTAAACTCAGCAGCCCAGGATCCTGATGTCAATTTGTAGTGCTCCCTTGCGGCTGTCAGGGCAGCACAATTTTGAGGTGGGGGCAGCTCAGGTGTAGGACACATCCTTTGGTGTTCGGATTTTTTGCAGTCAGCCGCCCGCTCAGGGCCACAGGGCCCTGAGCACAAACACCGGCCCTTTTTCCTGGGGAAGAAAACTTGCCAGTCCAGGTTCCTGATGTCAGTTTGTGGGGTTCCCTTGGGACTGTCCGGGCAGCAGGGATTAGAATCAGGTCTTGGGCCCAATACAGGTTTTGTCCCACAAAGATCGACTGAACTTCCCGGATAGCACACAGATGATGCACTGGACTTTGGGGTTAATAGTTAGTGTTGCCAGGTGATTATTGTAAGGTTGAACTGAAGTGATCTTATGGTTGAGAGCTGCATCTCCCCTGCTGATGGCAGAGGAGGCAGAGCTGGGACAGGGCAGCTCCTCCATTCCTTGGCTCCACCAAATGCCATGTTTTTCATCCCGGGGCTGCTGTGGCCATGGATTCCTTAAGTTACAGATAAGAGTTGTGCTGGCGTTGGAGCTCAAACAAACTTTTTGACCACTGTAGAAGAGTTACAGAAGAGTTGATGTATTCATAGCTAGCAGAGAAGAGTCAAGTTAGGAAACTTTCTTATTTAAGCAGGATATAGGGGGAAAAAAAAGCTGAAATTTTGTAGCTTATGGCTCTCCTCAGAGCTCTGGTAAGAGAGGAATGTCTCTGTCCCTGAAAGCCACCGACCTTTGGAATGCACACATGGACCTGTGTGTCACTTCAAGAGACACCAAGAAGCCCTGCCACTTTGCAAGGGCAGCTGTTGTTTCACTGCTGCATTTCTTGGCTCGGCAAAGCCCCTCCGACCCGCACTACGGCCTGAGCTTGAAGATATAAAGTACCACCCTGGAGTACAGGCATGGAAAGCTTGCCAAAGGCTGAAGGCAGCACTCGGATTCCCCCTTTTCCCAAGACGTTTCTTTAGTTGAAGTTGCTGACAAGGACCAGCCCCTTGACACAGCGCAATGGGTTTGCTGTTTTATTTTTCGGGTCCTGAGTCCTGCGTGGGACTCGGTAGGTGGGTGCTGCAGAGGCTCTGGCAAGGCATCAAAAACGCCGGCCCCACACCCAAGGGTGGCGCGAGATCTCCTCCAGCTCCGGCCTGTCCGCAGGGTGCTTGGCCAAACACCATCGGATCAGGTGCTGGAGCTCTGGGGAGAGAAGCCAGAAAGCGGCGGTCAGCGCCAGAAGTCTCCAGCCCAGCTGCCCCCGTCACCCGCGGGGCCCGGGCCGTGCCGCGAGCGCTCTGGGCCGTGCCGGGCTCCCGACCGGCTCAGCCCCGCGCGGGAGAGCGGCACGGCGGGACGCGGCCGCCTCCTCCGGCCGCCCGTGCTGCGCTGACCCCGTCGGCACCGGCCCCTCCTGCGGCCGGCCCGTGAGGGCAGATCCACGTCCCGCGGAGCTGCGTGAGGGCCGCGCCGGGCGTGCGCCGCCAGCTGCCAAAGCCCGCCGGCTTGAGGCCGGACACCCACCTGGAGAGAGCTGCCGCCGGAAGAAGAGCTTCCCCAGCACGATGGCTTGGTCGTCCTGGAAGGGGAGGCTGCCGCAGACCATGACGTACAGCAGCACGCCCAGGGACCAGATGGTGGCCGCGTGGCCGTGGTAGCAACGCAGCCAGGTCCACTCGGGCAGGCTGTACACGCGCGTTCCTAGGGGAGACAGGCGGCGCTGGCCGGGCGCAGGCTGCTGCCTTCCAGAGCCTGGCACCAGCCTCCTGACCGAGGCAGGGGCCGCACCCGCGGCCACAGCTTCCCCCTCGAGGCCACCCCGCGTCCCCCAGCCAGCTGGCCAAAGGCAGGAAACCATTCTGCGAGGCCAAGAAGGCCAGTAGAGCAGCCCAGGCCCTTGTGGGCCCGCTGAGCCCAGGGGCCGGGAGCCGCTTTGGCTGCCCCCTCTGTCGGCAGGGCCGGCAGCCGCCTCCTGGGGCACGGCATCCGCCCCGTGCCAAAGGGCAGCCGGCTGAAGGCCGCGGCCCGGGAGGGAACGGGGCCGTGCAGTGCCTGGCACCGGGAGCAGGGCCCAGGCCATGGGCTCACCGGCAAAGTCCGTGAAGGCCCGCTCCTGGAGGAAGGTGCCGCAACCGAAGTCAATGAGCTTCAGGTCGCCGCTCTCCGGGTCCACGAGAAGGTTCTCCGGCTTGATGTCCCGGTGC